GTTTCTGGTATGATATAGTAGCTTATAATACTGTAAGTATGTATAATTTAGTGTATGTACTAAATTGTGTATTTTTAAAGGATTTCCCATGCACTATTTGGGACACAATTGTACTAAAAAGGTTCCCTCATTTACCTCAAATTCAGATGTAATGGGGTGTCCTGTATTTAATTCAGCAATGCTCTGTGTGACTGAAGGCACTGGAGCAGGAGGCTGTGGTGGGAGAAGACCGCTTTCTCAGCAGGTAACTATTTTGACCTGTGCCTTGCTCTCCAGGCCCTGGGCAGGGCCACCAAGAGGCTGTGGCTGTCTGTGGCCTTTTTGTGTTATCCCCACAGATGACACCTGGATGTAGTTTCCCTCGACTTGTTTTCTGTATTCAGATAAGAATTTCCTGAACTAAGTACTCCTAAAGAGTCTTTTCAAGTAACAAACCTCACATCTTAGAATACCCCTAGTTGTACATTGCATTGTGAAATCTCACATCACCCTTTTGAAAAAGCCACGAGTCATTCCTTTATCTGTCTTGTAAGTTTGGGGGAAACTCATGATTATATCCAGGCAACCTCCACACAATGCGGCCTTTGCAGTTTTCCAAGTGCTGTTGTTGAGGTGGGATGTGCAGCCCCTCCTGCCTCCCAGAACAGTCTCTGGCATAACATGTGTGTGTCTCTGCTCAGAGTCAAGGCATTAACCTTCCAAATTTAAATCCAGGGAAACCCTCCTCCTCTTCATCCTACTGCCCTTTATTTATTTCTTTTAAACCATATCAATTGTCAAGGAGGAGGCTGCTGAAATAACAAGAGCATTACCTCTTGCAGAGCTCAAGCTTGAAGGGAAGGTTCTCGAACTTGAAGCTTTGCATTTTCTAAGTGGGAGAATGATGACTGTAAACAGACCACCTGACTGAGCTTAAGACAACCTGAGGGGCCACTTTGCTGTATTCTCTCTTGTTCTTTTGAACACTTGCCATCATAAGTTAAAATAATCGATAATACCCAAGAAAACGTATGGTAGTTGATTTTATAACAAGCCCCTCCAATGAGAGCTTACAGCTGAGTTTAGGAACAAAACTTCCTCTTTGCCTCCTTTTTTGGGACCTCTGGGTGGGACAGTGGATGGCAGCCAGTCCCAGCCAGCCTGTGGCAGTGTGTCTGTAGGTCCCAGCTGCGAATGTGACAGTTTCCTGGGGTGGCGCTGGAGTGAGCCACATGATAGGATATCTTCTGCAGAAATATTCTGTACAGTAACATCAGCTTCAAAGCAGTTTTAAATCCACTGACTCCGAAGTACCCCTGGAGCTAACATTTTCCCAAGTAATTAAGAATATAAGTTATCTTTGTTTGTTATGTTGTGTTTTCAGGGACCATATGAAAAGAAATTAAGTTGCTGTTTAAACTGATCTGTGGTTCTATTGGAAGTGTGAATGAATTTAGACTTGTTTTCTGCTGTTCTCTAGTGCACTAGGAGCATATGTGTTGAACTACCTGGTTTGCAATTTTAAAAACTCTTTTCAAAATTTGGGATAGTGAAATAAATAGTAGTGTATGTGTGTGTGTGTGTGTGTGTGTGTGTGTGTGTGTGTGTGTTGCATTTATATTTTTCACGTTCTACAGGCTTTCTTATTCATTATGACTTGGTTTGTGAAACTAGGACCCTTTTTTAGAAACTTCAGAATGACAATACGGTAAAATGATCACTAAAAGTGAAAAACAGGAAAACCATCACATGAAACCAACCAACCAACCAACCAACCAGTAGGTGCATAAAAAGCAGAACAGCTACATTTTAATTACTACCCAGGATATATAAGATGGATTTGAAAAAATTTAACATAAAAGTGCTTCAAACATACATTTTAAGGGTGAACAATGGTGGCAATATTAAATATTTTGTTTAAAAATAGTTTTCACATTAAAAGTGTAATTATATATAATTTGCACATGAACTAGGGAAGTCATGCTATTGTAGCAGTTGTATTTTTTTTAAACATAAATGTTTTCTTATTACCACAGTAATACTGATACATTGTAGGAAATTTAGGACATAGAGATAAGCAAAAAGAAGAAAACAGAAATCACCATAGTGGTACCAGGCATAGAGGACCTCTGTAAATTTTAGTGTACATCCTCCCATTTTTTTCTATATGCATTTATTTTTAAAAAGTGGTATCTATCAGTTTCTTTTAAAATAGTCTTTTAATTGGTATGTAATATGAGGACAGGAGGAGACTGGAATGAAGAGGGAGGAAGATGAAATTTTACAATGACTCTGACACTAGCACACGAAACAAAGACCCGGTGGACAAATAGAAAGCAGAGTGCCATAGTTGTTTGCTGCTTTTATTTATATCGTAGTGACAGTCCATGACATGCTGAGACTTTCATCGTCAGTCATTTATATTTTTTTGCAAGGCTAAAAGGACATTTCAGCATGATTTAAGAATGAATGAGTCGGTTTAACTTTTTCGGCCATGATTAATTTCAGAAACATTTGAAATTTCCATCCTTGACATATTTGAACCTTGCAACTTAATCATGCTTATTTAGTGGTTAAGACTCTAACACATTTTCCACTCTACTTTTAACCAAGCAAAGCACTAGTTGGGAAATACCTAGCTGCCAGCCTCCTGGGTTAGAGGCAGGCAAGATGAAGAAACTGACACAACAGGGGTAATTTACACCCGGACGCCACCGCAAGAGCCCCCTCGGTTAAAAACCCTCTAAAACCTAACCCCCAACGAAAGAAAGTGAAAAGCCTCACACATTCGCCCAATCCCTGAAAATAAATATTTAGAAACCGATGACTCCAGGAAACAAATGTACTCAGTGCTTCATCATCAGAAAGATTCGCAGTGGCACAGGCTGATAGAAGCTGGCATTTAAACAATAAGAACAAAAATAGCTGTGTGTTTCAGCCGCATCTGTCACCATATTGTCCTCAACATGAGGATATTAATTTCACAGTTTTTGTAGATAAGTTTAAACATAGGAACATGTCACAAATAAGCAGCAATCTCTGCTAGGCTACATCAGCTGGGATTTCAGTCTGCAATTTTTAAATTCAGCCGGGTCCCCACGGGCCAATCAATATTGGTGGCAATTATTCTTAGTACACGGTCCAAATGAAATGGGTGTGTTTTTTTCTTTTTTATCAAGGTGGGAGATTGTGATATAGAAATAAGCAAATTCCCTTGTGGTTGGCAATTGGGCCGCCTAACAGCTGCAGCAAGTCTGCTGTGGGTCTCTTTTGCTTGTTTCTCGGGAATAGCCCTATAATGACCACATTATTTTAACCCTTTAGTGTGAGCTGTGTTTGATAGCTACTTCGGAAAGACCTAGCTTGTGTCAAACAAAGAGAGAATGAAAAAAATAAACAAGCCGGGAGCACCTCCCAAAGCAGCTGCTGGGGAGCATTACCTTATACACAGGTTTTATTTACACCCTGGTTTCTAAGCCACAACCTCTAGAGGGCCAGTGCTTGGGACACAGGGATGTTTTCATGAAGCAGAGTCAGTTTACATTCTAGAGGGAAAGATGGAAAAACCTTTTTTAAAAAAAAATTTTCCAAGAGGGAGACACTGAATTATGTAAATCCCTAGATTTCAGTCTTTGAAAAATTCTCTTTTCCTTTTTAAAATTTTTCTTTTTCCTTAAAAAATTTTTTTTTGTCCATTTTGGGGGGCTGTGGGAAGCCATGGTGGTGGTGGGGGTGGGAAATAAACAGAAAACTGGAGAAGTGGGTGTCAGAGTGCTAGGAATTTTAAATTAGTCTAATGTCACTTCATGTTAGCTCATTTTAAAAAAAGCAAAACCAGTTAAAACTGCATGCTCTGTTTCTACCTGTGTTTTCAAACTACCAGGTCTCCCCCAAAAATGGCTCAAGAAATGGAAACGTCTGAAAAAGAGCCAAAGATGTAAGCAGAAAAGCCCCATAATAAAAAACAGCCTGGTGGTTCTTTCTGTAAATCCAATAGACCATTAGCCACCTTGGGAGGGGGGGATTTTTCTTGTGGAGTTTGGTTATTTTTCTCTCCTTTTGAAATAAGAACTGGAATGCATGAAAGGGAAATCTTAGGAGAGTTTTAAGGTCATATAATCTATCATAAAACCTGTCTGCACTGTGCAAGATCCAGGTACACGTGGATTATCATCTATAATAGGGACTCCTGAGGATCTATGTCTGGACAGAACTGAGTGCTATTGAATTTAAGATAACATTTAATTTATTCTTGCCTAAAACAAGGTATGGATGGAGTGTTTATTCATCTGTAATTCTGCACTACCTTTTTGTTAATCACATTTGTTTTGTTGCTTGGAGTGGATCAAAGTCGCTGGGAATTGGTGGTTAGAAGTCTGTATTCTAAAGCTCAAAAATACTTTTTCTCTCCCCCTTCCCCATTTTGGAAATGTTTAGAATAAAGGTTCCTGATTGCAATGGTGATTTGTGGTTAATATCATTAGACTTCTGGCTTGGATTAATACTGCTAATTAGTTTCTGTCCTTGACTTTTTCCAATTAAAGCATAGAGGCCTTGGTGTTAAACACCTGGGCAGATTACCTAATTAGATGACAGAAACATACACAATTGTTAGCAGGTAATTATTTTAACTTTCACTGCTTGTTTGGTATTAAACACACTGATGAAAGGGCATCCTTTCTACCATACTAACTGCAAAACTTCAGCCCCCAGGTTAGGAAGCTGGTAACGGTCTTGCCTTCTAAATAGACAATGTTGAGTCCTTTTTGGTAAATATGTGCAGAAGTGACACAAATTTGGTTTTTCCCCTCACACAGAGGAGAAAACACCCATGCTCGAGGCCCCCACTCTGTCCCCCACATGTTCCTTGCCAAGTAGGTGATGAGCCAAGTAGGACTGGGACTCTCTGGGTGCACAGTGCTCATGGGCATTCTTGGAAGTGGGCTTATCTGTCCCAGGGCTGAATAATGCTGTGGGAGCCTCATTGCTCTAAAGGTAGGATGTATTATCCTCTTTTTTAGGATTCAGAAATGAAAACCCAACTTCCACACTTGATGTTCTTAATAAAGGAAGAGATTGAAAGCCACTGGGATCCTTCCAACTCCGAGAGCAGCGCCACAGCCGCACAGCTCACCCCCGGGAAGGGTCAGGCCCAGATGGAGCTGAGCAGGAGGCGCCCGCACGGACTCCACTTGGGATGCAGAGAACTTTACCCGTGGAGGTGCTTCTCTCTGGAAGCGTGTAACAAATCTCCGCACTGTCATACCGACCTTTGTTATCTCAGCCCCATCCAGTCCCTCCGGACCAGCCCACGGGTGGCACTGACCGTTTGCTGAGCATGCTTTGCCCTTCCACCCGCTTGGCTTCTGCTCTCTCTATTCCCCCTCCAACCACACCTTCTACCACATCTTCATCCCTTGAGACTCTCTTTCCCCTTTGAGACCCATCCTCCATGGTATTCCTTCTCCAAAACCTTTCCTAGAATCCTCAATTGATTTATTTCTCTTTCCTTTGAATGCCTTTTCTATGAACCTACCGCATTGTGTTTTGTATCATTATTTGAGGCCCTGTCTTTACTCTTGGATGCTATCAGCCTCTTCATTCATTTGCTCAGCAAGCCTTTTCAGAGGGTGTGCTGTACGTAGCCACCCTCTTCTAGGTGCTGAAGATGCTGTGATAAACGCCTTCCTTGCCCACACGGAGCTCACAGTCCATGGAGGAAGGAGGGCAGACAGCAGATAGATTAAAAGAGGTCATACAGTGCTAGCAGCTATGAAGGCAAGGCTCTCCCTAGACAGGGAGACCAAGGAGCCAATGTAGGAAATAATGATGAGCTCTCAGTGAGCCATCATTTCTATGCACTGATTTGTCTAATCAGCACAACAGCACTATGAACTCAGCCCCACTGAGTCCCAGTCCAGAGAAGAGAGTGGGGATGACTCACTCCATAGACAGGTAAACTCCAGGGTGGTTAGCAATCTCGCCTAAGGTGAAACAGCTGGTCAATAGCACATGCATTCCTAAGCCCAGTCCCCTCCCTTTCCTCTTGTCATGGCCACATAGCGCCTGAGCAGGACCTGGGGCATGGCAAGCCCTTGATGAACTATGTGGGTCACACACCTGAGGATTCTTCCTCTAGAATGACTCATGCACCTGTCCCCTGCTCCTTGTCCCATCCTCCCCGCCCTAGGTCAAGCCTGTGCCACCTTGATCAGGACGTCTGTTCTGTTTTTCTCAGCTTTAGTCTTCCTGGTTTCCTGCAGCTGGGAAACTGCCCAGGCCTTGGAGGGATTTGGCTCTGATGATGGGATGAAACTCCTGGGGTGCCCCTCACCCCACCCTACCCTGGAGCCGACTCCACAGAACCCTAGCTGTGAGAGAGCCTGGTCAGTAGTGAGTGAGTGGGGCTGGTAGAGCAGCCTGGGGGTGGCACGGAAGGCCCAGCCAGCTCTCAGGTGCAGGCAGAAGGCTGGAGGGCCTGTCCCAGCCTGAGGGGTCCCTGGGCTCCTGGGAAGCCTGCTGCCCAGCTGGGTGAAATCAGGCACTGCTCTGTCCTTCGGACTGTCTGACTGCCTCCTTGGACCTGGTGCCATCTGACCCCACCTGTCCTACCTCTCATTTTCATCCTGTCCCAGCTCACCTGGATGTCTTGAGTCTTCTTGGTTTCTGCCATGTGGTAACATGGATGGATAATCCTGTGGAGCAGACAAGGACTGAGGTCCCTCATGGGCCAGTGATCCCCCATCCAAGCCTCAGTTTTCTTATCTGTGAAATAGGCTAATAATAGAGTTGCTCTAAGGATTCAACTGAATAACTCTGCCTCTAAGGAACTAGCTGAGTGCTCAGCCTTTAGTGGGTGCTTGGTGAGTGCTAATTCTTTTGCTGTAGGAGTCCACTTGGCTGGTTGCTGCATGAGCCCTTAAACCAGTCCTCCTGCATATGCTCTAACCACAGCCAGCCTTCCTCCAAGCCCTTCTCTGGCCCCTGAGCACTTGTAGACGATAAAATCCAAATATTGCCACCGAAGTTTCCGTGCTGTGCCTGGGGTCTGACTTGGGCTTTCACTTCTACTACATCAGTTCTCTTTCCCACCACGCTGGCCTTACTGCTCCTCTTAGAAATGGTTTGTGCCTTGGTGCCTTTGCTCACTTCTGTTGTCCCTCCTGCAGCGGCCTTGTACCATTTCCTCCTGATGGGCTCTCACCCATCCTCAGCAGACATACTCGAGGGGTCTGCCTTGCTCCCAACAATCCACCTTTATCCCAGCAATGCAGTTGGCGCCCAGCCCCGGGGCTCCTTCTGCAGCGGGAGCAGGACTGACCTAGGTGGGCCAACGGATTTGCTCTCCCAGGGGTTTGGCATGGGGCTGAGTCAGTCCTCTGTGTGGTGTACCTGAGCCTGGACACGACTGCTGTGTCCAGGACAGTCCCTTCCTGCCATGGGCAGGGGAGGCAGTGCAAACAGCGAGACAGAGGCAAACCCACCCAGCATGGCCTCTCCTTGGTCCCAAAGCACCCTTTCCCTCCAGCGCTCTCAGGGCCCATGCCACTCACATGAATGCACCTCCCAACCCTGCTCCCTGTGAAGCCATATAGTTTGGTATTAGTTTTCCTTTTAGCACAAGCTTGGCTCAGTTGGAAGTCAGTTGTTGAATAAAGGGGTGAAAGGATGAATGGATGCTGGGGAGAAAAGTTCTAACACCAGATCAGGGATCATGGGGAGAATGTGTTAGAATGCAGATTCCCCAGCCCCACCCTGATGTAGTAGGTCCAGGTGGGGCCTGAGAATCTGCTTTGTAACAAGCCCTACAAATGCTCTAATACAAGGGGTCTGAGGACGGCAGAGATGGGCTAGCTATGGACTCCCAGGTCTGGGCATGACATCCGTTCTTGTAGAGCTTTGCTGCAGCTTGCGCACGAGGCACCAGGCCTGTGCCCAGACCCTTACCCATGTTACCTCACCCAAGGCACATTCCTGTGCGGAGGCTGTCCTCTGCTCGGGCAGTGCGGAGTCACAGGCAGGCTCGGTCCCTGGCTGAGCTTCCCGTGAGGTGTCTGTAGGAATGCTCGGGCTGTGCTCTCCTCTTCCCTTGTTTGGAGAAATCTCCACCTCCTCAGTCTCCTCCCCTCCCTCCATGGGGCATGTTCGAGGGCCCCCCAGTCGAATGCCCCTACTTGGAGGTTGGCTTAGGGGTGGCAGGCCTGAGAAGCAGGATCTGCATGTGCCCTCCTGGTCAGGATGGCAGCAGAGACGTGGGCTCCCAGGGGCAGCCATGCAGACACTCTAATGAGTACGGCGCCCCACGTCCCTGGTATGAACTACAGGGGTCTGTGCCCAGTAGGAGTGGCACCAGCCTTTGCTCTGCACATTCTGGGTGGTGCTCTCCGAGGCAGAGCTGGTCATCCATTACTGTGCAAGCAGCCACCCCCATACCTAGAGGCCGAATGGCAAGATTTGTTTTGCTTATGACTACAGTTTGGGCATGGGCAGGGTTTGACAGGCACAGTCATTTCTGTTCCACGCAGCATACGCTAAAGTGAGTTGAAGGCGGGGGGCCTGGGACTGTTGCAAGCTTGCTCACCCACACGGCTTGCGGTTGATGCTGGCTCTTGGCTGGGGCTGTGGCCAGGACACCTACACGTGGTCTTCCCACGCGGCTGCTTGGCTCTCTCACAACATGGTGGCAGGGTTCCAAGGGTGAGCGGAGAGAGAGTGTGAGCATGCACGCGCCAGGCAGTTCTGTCACCTAGCTTCAGAAGCCATGCAGCTACTGAGGCCCACGTTCAGGGACAGAATTAGACTCACCTTTGATGGGACAAGTGTCCAAGAATTTTCAGACAGAATTTAAAGCTGGCAGAGCTGGCCTGTCTTTTCCCCCATCTTTCCCAGAGCTCCTGTAAGCTATTATTTTAAAATAAATTCCTTTAAGAGTTAAACTATCTGAATGGATTTCTATTCATAAAGGGTCAGGCTACACACCCAAGTCTGTCTGGTTCTCAACAGTGTTTCCTGAATCCTGCATTGATTACCTCCTGGAGGGCACAAGAATAGAACTCCTGTGGCTGATTGATTAATTCAAGTCTCACATGTGTGATGAGTCCCTCCCAGGTGTCAGGCCCTGGACATGCGACGCTTCCCTGCATTCTGTGTACAGCCGGACGAGAGCTACAACAGGTAGTGAGTCTGTTACAACACAGTGTGCTGAGTGCTCCAAAGGGGAACTTCAGGAACACATGTGGAGAGCCTAGCCCAGAGGAATTAGGGGGTCGAGGAAGGGTCCTAGGGGATTGACATCAAATCTGGAACTCGATGAGTGAGTACGAATGAATTAGGCTAGTGGTAGCGGCAGTGGTGGTGAAAGTTTACTAAACATTTGGGAGCATCTGTAAGTTACTACAGAGAGAGCAGGATGTGCAAAGGCCCTGGGCAAGAAGAGGCCAGCCCCCTAACAGGAGTGGAAGGGGTGTGTGTGAGTAGTGGGAGAGGAAACTGAGACATGAGGCTGAAGAGGTGAGTTGGGGCAGCTCACGTAGGACCTTCAGTTGCCTGGTGACTTAATTTAAGGACAACCCCAAAGTCAGACATCAGAAGTACTAGAGGGAAAAAAGGAATTATTTGATAAAGTCAGGGGCCCACATTTAAACTCTGAGTGGCCAAATAATTATATGGGAATATCATTCAGAAAGGTCCCAGTTGATGCCCATCCATTCATTCCACAAATATTTATTTGCACGCCTACTCCATTCCAGGCCAGTCGTAGCCCAGGCTGGCCAGCATGGCAGTGTCTTTCTCTGTGGCCTATAAGGGGACATAGCTTTCTTCTCAGTGGATGCTCTCATAACTCTGTGGTCAGGACAAGGTGCCAAACGAATGCTGGCAGTGTGCTGATGAATGCTAACTGGCCAGAGTCACAGACGTGGTGCCATCAAGCTACTCGGCATCACAACCTTGGCTCTGAACGGGCACAGCCAGCTGGCTGCCCTATTGCTGTGGAAGCACAGACATGACAGCATTTCTTCAGGCTGAACGGGAACAATAGACAAGCTCCTGTTGCCTTTCAGGTTGATGACAGAAGCAGATGCAGATGAAGTCTCATTTAGAGGCACTGAGAAGGCCTGAGGATGGGCGTAGACCTTTAGCCAGACCACGCCTCAGCAAGGTCTTCCAATTTCCAGCAACTGGGAGTGTCTGTAAGTCACCACAGGCAGGGAACTGTAGGTGAGGATGACTGGGTTCTGATTTGCAGAGATGTGTGCTTTGATCCCAGACCAAGTTTCAGCAACAAGCTAAAATTTGAAGCTATAGCTCTAGAGGTTCACTGACTGAGATCAACACAGCCAGCAACTTTCTATTCTAACAACTAAGAACAAGGCAAGAGGGAGGGCGGGATAGTCAGAAGCTGAGAAATGGTCAGGCACTGATGTCCGGCTGTGCTTTGGGACCCACCTGAGATTCTGATGTGGTAATTTCTAGCATGTGCAAAGTCTATAACTGGCCTGTGACTTGAATGAGGCAGTGTAGTGATGCAGAATAATAATGGGCAATTCTTAGCTCCAGCTGCTATAACAAAATACCATAGACTGAGTGATGTCACCAATAGAAATTTATTTCTCCCAGTTCTGGAGGCTGGAAAGTCCAAGATCAAGGTGCTAGTAAGGTGTGGCTTCATTCTGAGGCCTCTTGCCTTGTCTCGTAGGTGGCTACCATCTTGCTGTGTGCTCACAAGGCCTCTGCTTTGTATGTGTGCTCAAGGGGGAGAGAGCACCCTCTCTGGTATCTCTTCCTCTTCTTTTAAGGGCACTAATCCTATTGTGAGGGCCCACCCTCATGACTCATCTAACCCTAATTATGTCCTGCTGGCTTTGTCTCCAAATACCTGTCACATCAGGGCTTAGGACTTCTACATATGAATTCTGGGGGATGAGAGTGATCAGCATAACAGCAATGACATACAGTAAGATTCTTAGCCTGAATAAAAGTCAGCCTGTTACCGTCTCTTCTCATATTTGATCAATCATCTATCTGAGAATGTGAGAGCATCATGTGACATGCAGGAGTACATAGATTTTACTTTACCAAGGTCAGTAGGTCACATATATTTTATGATTGAGCTTCATGATCTTTGGTGAAGAGGGTTAAATTCAGAGGTTGCAAATAGGACAGCAAGACAGCAAATCAACATTGAAATGTTACAAGATTTTACATAAAATTTGAGATTTGAGACTTCTCTTCAAACATTGTAAGGTATAACTCAGTCATGACATGTGACAGTGGCTGGAGCTGTGACTACCCACTGCTGGTCAGCCTTGTCCCCACCTGTCACCTGTGGTGGTGTTCCCTGGGAAGCCAGCTCTGAGATGGGGATTTATAGTCAGGAGATGTCAGGGAAGTGGTCTCAGGATCATCACTGGTAGTGGGGCTGAAGGAGGAAAGACTGGACAGAGAAACTGAATGGAAATGTGGTGGATCCAGTCACAACCAAGGGCTCAGCCCATCCCTCAGGGGGTGGGATGGTTTTCGGGGTTGTCCTGATTCAAGGGAAGGAGCCAGACTTTTATAACCCTCATGACCATCACTGAATGTGGGATGTCCCCAGGAAGAGGCATGACTTTGGGCAAGATGGCTACTTCCAGCTGAGGGCAAACCCCAGAGAGGGGCTCTGTGGAGACCCCCCGGCATGCACGCTCCTGGCAGCGTGTCTCCCTGCAGGGGATCTGGCCAGCACACCGCAGCGTGCAGTACACCTCTCTCCGTGTCCTCCCTGAGCCGGAAGCCAAGTGTCCCGTGTCATTTTGAGTTCTTTCCACTGTTGTTGTCTCATGGTAGAGATCGTTTCTCTTACACCTATGTCTCTAGCAAAAGTAGCAATGAAACCCCCAGGGAAGGCTGTCTGGTTCAAGAAAAAAGGGAGAACACATTGGTCTTCTTGGAAGGTAAGAGTATTCATTCCTATGTGATTGCTTTCCAAGAACTCCGCCTACTTCACTTGCTCCCGTGACTTGCCTAGCCCCTGTGAGTGCTGGGGTGTGTGACCCCGGGGATGGCTTGGGCAGGGCCCGGAGTCATGGGAGCTGATTAGCTCATCGTCCTCTGGCAAGGAGCCTTTTCAACAGAAACCAGAATTCCATTGACTACATTGTTCTTCTCTGCATTTACCCTCAAGTGGACCAGGCTGGGCTGGAAGGGCTTTTGAATGGAGTTCCTTTAGAGTAATTGATTCTGCAGACCCCTTTGGTGGATACTTCTGGTTTTTGACTGGCTCTCACAGAGCAATAATGTGTGATGTATTTCTGTGTAACATATCACTCCAAAATCCAGTGACTGAAAACAACAACAATGTATTGGTTCCCAGTATTCCATGGTGTAGGAGGTCAGACAGGGCTCAGCTAGGTGGTTCTGCTGCTCCAAGTGATGTCCACTGGGATCACATATGTGGGCTACATTCAGCTGGGAGCTTGACTGGGGCCGAAATGCCCAGAAGGGCCTCATTCCCCAGGCACTCTCTGTATGGCCTCTCATTCTCTGGGTGTCTGGTTTATGGCATGGCTGCTGAGCAACAAGAGCAAAAGCAGAAACTGCAAGACCTTTTAAACCCTAGGCCTGGAACTGGCACAAGCGATGTTTGCGGCATGCTACTGGTCAGAGGAACTCATAAGACTAGTTCAGAGTCAAGGAAATAGACCCCACCATTCAACGGAGGAGCAAAGAATGAATGGCTATTTTAAATGTAGTCCAGCCACATGATCCCACTTCCATAGGCTTCTGATGAATTACTACTAGAAGCCAAAAGAAGAAGCGGGGTGCACATAGCTATCCTTTTCATGCACCCCTTGTCTGGAAGCACACTTTGGAAACCCTTTTCTATGTTTATCAATATTGGCTGTAAATGCGCTGTTAGAGATACAGAAAGATGGGCTGTGTCCAGGGAGTTTTTCCAACACACCCTCGGGAGGAGTGTGGAACAATTCTGTGTATCTCAGCATCAGGAGGTTTTGACGTTTAGCTTAACATCACCCAATTGCTCTCGGTTGTGACCATCATCACCATCTCATCATTATTGCCATCAGCAGCACCAAGCCTTTATTAGACACCTAACTGCATGTGGAATGATGCTAGGAGATGCAGGGCAGACAGGAATGCACAGCGCAGGCCCGCATGGGCTGGTGCCTGAGGCTTGATTGCAGGTGCCAGCGCTGCCATGGCTGCACATCAACAGGGAGAACGAGCATCTAAATGCACAATGGAGGCTCACACCATGGAAGGCTCATGGAAGGCAGCTTAGTGTTGGAGAAGCACAGCTCAGCATTTTGAGTCCAAGTTCTCCAGCTTCTGCTGGTTTCATAGGCTCCCAGTCAGTTTGCAGAAAATTAATTTGCAGAACAACCCCTCTGCTGAAACCGTGAGATAGAGTCCTCAGTCGGGGTCTGAGCAGAATCTGGTTTCACCACCAAAGGCAGAAGCAGGACAAGGAGCAGCGGCAGGACACAGGGAAGATGCCGCACGGTGTAGCACAGGCTTTCATACAGAAGATGTAATGTGATGCGCAAGTGCGGGAGCCCTGAGGCGTGAAAGAACAGGAGGGCCCATGGTTAGGGACACTCGGCCAAGGAATTTAGAGCAAACGGACTGCAGTCAAAACACGGGAGGGAAGCTATAGTAACTCTAAGGAACACAGGACTCCTGTGAATCATCTGTAAGCTCAGTGAGCTGATCCCTCAGCCAGTGGACCCCGCAGCAAGTTGATTTTTGGTGACTCAGCTGGGATCCATGAGCTGCTCTATGACCTGGAGCACATTTTCTCACTGGTGAAGTGAAGATGACCTGGTCGTTGCCACCTTGAAAAATAATAAAATGTATGAGAAAGTGCTTTGGAAAATGTAAACTAACTAAAACTAT